TGGGTATTTTGTCTCTGGAAGAAGAAAACTAAGACAATTTAACAATAATTTTTAATTTCGTTTTCAGTTAAATGGATGAATGGCCCTAGAATTTGAGAGCTCCAGTTATTTCACCTACAACCCCCAGGAGGCGCTGTGGATCTTAGATCTGTTGGTGACAGATATTTCAGTGAACTTCAGATGTTCCTGAAAGGGTAGTGACAAGATGATTCTTAAGTAGGTGGTAGTATTTCCTGAGCATGTGTTTCATGATGAGGGAAAGAGCAGAGGGCTGGTTTGGTCCTATTGAAATGTCCAAGAGATAGATATCCAAGAGGAACATCAAATATGTATTTAAAATTGAAAAAAGAGCCTGAGTTAGAGATACAAACTATGCACTCTCCTAATTCTATCCAGTGACATATAATCCATGTATTGATACCATACATATATGTTTCAATAAAAAATTGAGGTTTTATTCTGACATAAGAAAGGATCAAACAAGTGCATTTATTGTTTTCAAGTTAACTATAGAAGTTTTGTAAGTGATTTGAAAATTTGGCTGAATATTATAGTTTGAAGGTAATTTCTTGACATTTGTAGGCAATTATAGTAATTATATTTCCTAGAGTAATGGCATGTTTGAGTTCTCTTTCATTTATTTAATGTCATGGCTCACCACAGTGCTCCTTCTCCAGCTTTCACATTTTCTGATGCTTTGCATAGGCTCCTGAGGTCAAGGGTGGCTGCTGAGAGCTCTATTTATAGGTTTTCTCAGGAGACAGACAGGGCTGAGTGCCTGAGACAGCTGAACTGACACAGGATGGAGACACAGTCCCAATTCCTCCTCTTCCTGGTATTCTGGGTCTCTGGTGAGAGGTTTAGAAAAGTAATTTTTAAAAAGGGAATGAGGACATTATCACATGGAAGGAAAAATTATTTAAACCATTCTGTCTTTTTTGGTAAATAAGAGACTTCATATTTCTGATTTTTAATAAATTAGTAATCCAATGTAAATTCCTAATTGCAGGTACCTGTGGAGACATCATAATGACTCAGTCTCCAGAGTCTGGCTGTGTCAGCAGGAGAGAGGACCACCAACAGGTGCAAGTCCAGTCAGTCTTTTATCAAGCTCCAACCAAAAGAACTACTTGTTCTGGTACCAGCAGAAGCCAGGACAGTCTCTCAAACTGCTCATTTCCTGGGCATCCACCCTGATATCTGGAGTCCCTGACTGGTTCAGTGGTAGTGTCTGGGACAGATTTCACTCTCACCATTAGCAACCTCCAACCTGGAGATGTGGCACATTATTACCATCATCAGGGTTATAGTACTCCTCCCACAGTGCTTCAGCCTGAGACATGGACCTCCCCAGGCCATGGGTCCATGAGTCTTCACTGCACCCGGTGCTTCCTTCCTGCTCAACTCTGTTTCTCTCTCATATGGAAGACAGGCAACATCTCCCCATAATCATGGAGTATGAAGGTCTCAAGGGAAGATTAAGAGCAGCCTTCCCTGAGCTTTTTGCACAAGGAACCATGACACGATGACTCTGTAATCACCTGTCATAGTGATAGGGAAAACTTTTATAAATAGCAAAAACCTATAAAGTGTTACAATGTAAAATGTCTTCCGCTGTCTCTCTGCAGCAGTTTGTTTTATTTAGCTCAAAACTAATAGGCTCTGAAGGCACTAATTGCTAAATGAGGCATTTGGTCTGGCCCTGAGATAACAGGGCACAGCAAGGTCTTGAGCTCCCAGAGACTGAAGCCACCTGATTGCAAAAGTGTCTAAATGAAAGAACCCATTGCTAACATTTGCTCCCCTGACCCTGAAAACCCACCTTCCTATGAACTAGAATAGATAACTAGGCTAATCTTAAAGTTAAACTCCCCAACTGCAAAGAACTGTTACAACTGGATTGAAAAGATTAACTATTCTGTGACCATGATTTAAACTGTGAAAATGAAATGTAGCCACCCAAATGAAGTCAAGGCTGTAAATCCCTATAAAAGGAGGAGTTGTAACTCAGTGCATCAATGATCCAGGCACGGCTTATGAGCAATCAACCCTTATCGATAAGTAAATTCATTATTTTACTTCCATTCTGCTGCTTCTCTGTGTGTCACTTACTGATACCTTATGTAACAATAGGCCTTGTGCTAAGTCATTTGGCACTTTTCTATCCTTGTTTTGTCTGACTTCACTTTCCTGTTTTGCCACTTAAATATTTTATTTATTGTGGATATACCATGTGCGGTGCATTGTTCTTTGTAATTAACAATGTTAAAATGGTAGTAGGCCATATTGTGATTCTTGAATCTTTTGGAAAAGTAGGGGTGGCCTTCATTGCATGTTTTCTAATGAGTACATGAGGCAACAAAAGAATCCTTTACTGTACTATTAAAATGTAGATTCTCTCATTTTAAATTAGGGAATGGTCTTAAAACCAGCTTAATATCTAGATGATACATGTTTTCCACAAGACTCACAATTCTAAGGTTCAGCCAATAGTCACCTGTAAATAATCTTGGTTTGAAAGAAATGAGTATGAGTTCAATTAGTGTTCTAAACATATCACTGCTAAAAAGTTAAAGTCAAAGTATTTTCTGCGCCTTAGTTCACGTACATGTAAAACTGTATGCAAATTAGGGACCATTTCTCTGATGATGAAAAGAACTAAATAAGATATCATAGGAATATGCTTTACGAAGTTGTATATCTTAATCCATGATTATCTCCTTTATGTGTGTAAGTATGTTCTACATTTATTATTCTTCTTCTTTTCTTTCTTTTTTTTGATTCTGGGGATCGAACTCAGGTCCTTGTGCTTGTGAGGCAGGCCAAACCGCTGAGCTAAATCCCTGCCCCCTACATTTACAATTCTGATTCCTTGTCTTATATCATACTTGGTTCAATATTCCAATAGTTCTCCAAATGGCATTTTTTCTTAATCTTTTTATACAGTGAATTATGTTGGTTGATTTTCAAATAGACAATCAGCCCTACACATAAGTAAATAAACTCCATTTTGATGGGGTGAATTATTGTAGATTTTAAATAAATTGATTGCTTTTTTATTTTTTTTCAAGATTTCCCTGAAAATATTGGGTCTTATATTAGTCTTGCTCCAAAAGATGTAAGAGGGCTTGTTATCAAGCCATGTCTTAGTTTTTCATATACAATTTATTCATGAAAAAAATATACATTTATTCAAATATAGCCTTGTCATCTTCTTTTGGAGTATGGTCACCACTCTCCAAACCCCAAATTCAGGCCTGTATTTCTTGCATTTCCATTTCCCCTGGAACTATTAGCCCCAATCTCTCATGTCCAGCTACGGGGCACACCTTACATGAGCACTTCTTGTGCATGTAGGCTGCTCATAGTGCATCATTACAACACATGACAAAACTGAATTCTGAAGACTTATATTAGACACCACCATGTCTGTTTGTTTGCAGCTGCATGTTATTCATGTGGGTATCTGTACTCCGATAGGTCATTCATTGTAAGTCTCAAATTCATCTGTTTACCCTTCCTCATCCAAAGGCACTAGCATAGGTATTTACAAATACTTAGTTATAGTTTATATTATTATCTATTGTAAGGATGAATGGAAAATATTATTTATATTTAGCTTAAAATTAATATTATTTTACTATTCAATATATGTGTACGTGTACTAAATGTGTAGATGTACTAAATGTGCCTGTTTGGCTAATTATCTTAAATGAGGCTTATTTTTAGGGTAGGGCCTATGTTACAAGCATCTTTTTGAAGACCATGTCTTGATCAAATTCTTACCTAAGTCATCTGCCTCCACTAGTGTCATTCAGTCTTTAATAAGAAAAATATACCTTATTCTTCTTAAACTCTGAAGTAAGGGAACATTGTTAATATTGTGACTAAACCAATTATGAACTTAATTTATACTTATTTATTTATTTTTCTCATTGAGTTTATTGGTACATTTTAGGTATACAGTACAGTCACATTCATCACTGGGATCTTGTACCTTTACATGACAGGTCTTGGTTCTCATTTTTTCCCCTTACCCCTGCTCTCCCTTCATCCCCTCCTCCCTTCCCTATTTACAAAAACTTATTTCCATTTTTTTTCATTTTCTCAGATTTTTTTCTTTTCCCTTATTTCCTTTCCCCTACCCTTCCCAGTTCCCTGACACCTTTAGTCCTTTTCTCCCTATTTCACATTGTCAGTTATACCATTAGGATCTTATTTAGCTTTTCACACCAGAGAAACTATTTGGTATTTACACATGTGTGATTTATTCATTTCACTTGAGTATATCCTCAATATGCATCCATTTTAATTTGTACTTATTTAATATGAGTATGGTTTTGAGACCTTTAAAGCCCAGGTTCCTTTGGAAACTAGCCTGGGGAAGAGTACCAGAAAAGTTGAGGTTGATAAAGAGTCAATAGCTCAGGTTCCTTCAGTCTCAGACAGAAATATTTATTTTGCCTGCCTTTCTGGTGGTTGCTCTTCTCCAGCTGGAAAGTGTGCTTGAACTTTGTCTAAACATCCTTGAGGATTTCTACTTTCCAGATTACGTGGTAGGGTGACAGTTTCCCAATACTTTGTGGGTACCCAAATATTGGAAGAGACTATGATGGATGGGCAAAGTCTCAGGTGAGCAGGTCCCAAAGTAAGAGGAGGCAAATGTGTTCAGGTTGGGATTTTTCTGATAGACATTTCAAATAGTCATCCTTATCAGGGCTTTATTCAGAGAAAAGATATCTTACATACTGTCCAGTGGAAGGTTCCTTTCTAGCCTGATCAAAGTAGCATATCATCAGAGAGATATATAGACAATATTCTAGACGACGAATATATATTACACAGAAACACATCCCTCTGCTATAACAATTTCTAATTTTTATAAAAAGGTTGAAGCACGACGTGAGAGTATAAGCTATGGAGGGCTTACTCCCTGCTGATTTGCATATCACTTGCTCAGAAACCACAAATGTCCAGAGTTCTTTTTAAGGGATGATCTTAAGTGGTCTGTTTAGCCTGAAGTAGAGCTCAGAAAAGACAATGGATTTTCAGACTCAAATTCTCAGCTTCCTGATGCTCAGTGTCACAGGTAAGAAAGGAAGCTCGAGACAGAGCATCATTTTTGCCATAGGAATTTAAGATTAAGGCAGATGTTTTGGTGGTTGTTTCGGCATATTATATGGTATGATGACATTCTCATGTCTCTATTTGTACTAACTTCTATCTCTTTTCATCTCACCCACTTGACCACAGTGTCCAATGGACAAATTGTGCTCACCCAGTCTCCAGAATCCCTGGCTGCTTCCCCAGGGGACAGAGTCACCATCACCTGCACAGCCAGCTCCAGTGTAAGCACTGACAGGTTGCACTGGTACCAAAAAAAGCCGGGAGCCTCTCCGAAACTCCTGGTTTATAAGACATCAAACCTGGCCTCGGGAGTCCCAGCTCGCTTCAGTGGAAGTGGATCAGGGACCTCTTACTCTCTCACAATCAGCAATGTGGAGGCTGAAGATGCTGCAACCTATTACTGTCAACAGTGGCAAAGCTATCCACACACACAGTGCTACAGACTGCAACAAAAACCCCTTCAGCTCCTCAGGGACCAGCTGCTTCTGCTCTCAGACAATGAACTGTCAGGGGTTTTAGATGTGACAGAATCTCCCAAATCTTGTCTATTGGAGCCGAGAACATTTGGCTTCCTACAAGAGGAAGGAAGAAGTACAGATGGGAAAGAAAAAGTAAACAAGGAGTTTCCTTTCTGTGCCTGATCAGAGAAGCCTTGGAGGGCTGTAGTGAAGATCTCCTGAGTGGGGCATTAATTTTGAGGAGAAGATTCTGGGCTGTGGAACAAATGTGCAGGGGCTTGGGAAAGCCCACTCACAAAACTCATCCCTGGCTAGCAAGAAGCAATTATGGAAAAATAAAAGCCCAGTTCCAGAATTAAGTACATCTTCAAAGACAGTGTTTATGTTCCCAAGGTGAAAAACTGCAAAGTTAATGCAAAATGAGTTCATCATTTTGAGAATTCTGAAATTATTTTTAATTGCATTTTTTGACTGTGTATCACAGTGGACTTAGGCGGGTCTGAGAAATGTGCAAAAGGTATAAAGGATCCAAATTATCACAAAATTTTCTCATTCCTTGTCGCGAACCGGCGACGCAGAGCACTGTCCCGCAGTGCCTCAAACCTGAAAGAGCAGCGGGGTGGAGATGGGGCAGAGAGAAAGGAAGGACGCCAAGACAAGAGTCTGATCAAGGCGACGTTTATTGCAGGCAGGCATCAGCCTTTTAAAGGAAAAGACCGAACTATTATGGGCTAGGATTACCATAGTAACCTCAATACCTGCTCCTATAGATAACATCAGATCTTTAACATAACAAAATGGAGTTAACAACACCTGACTCCTACAGATCTTTGGCTGTCCGTGTTTCTCCCGTGCAGGGTCAAAACAAGTTTAACATGTGCAGTCCTTAAAAAGGAACAAATGTTGTCTTTCAAAAAGCCAGTGGGCTATGGCTGGCTTCCCACAATTCCTGTTCCTGTCTTGTAGTTTTTAACCCTTCTTTTTGAGGGGCTAACACCCAGAATAAATATGTAGAAAATATGACATCTTTGTCCTTAGAGGCAATCATCTCTGGCTTTCATTGCGAATCCAAAATCAAGAGACTTGAAGGTGCCCTGACAGTGACTAGAGAACTCCAGGTGCCACAGGCTGAGGATTCAGGGAGGTGTAGACATAGTAAAACAAAGCAACAGTGTTATGGTCTTTGTTTTTAAGCCCCTGGGGTAATTGCCCACTGAGGTAGGCAATTAGGGCATGGCAAGGAGGATGGACAATAGGGCACAACTTGGTAATAGTGGAGATCCATCAAATCCCAGCCAAGATCTGGTGATAGTAGAGGACATAAAGGACAGGGACCATTGACTTCAGGGGATTGCAGCCCTCTTGTTCTTGCAGTGGTCTGTCCTGTACGCCACACATATTTTCACTTCTCTTGCTTCTTTTTGTGCTTCACTTTTTCTTTACTTCTTTTCTTTCTTTTTCTTTCATTTTAAATAAACACTGCTTTTTCAACTCCATCAATTGTCCCATCCAATTCTTTGAATGGGGCAGCAAGAGCCTAGAACTACTGGACACTTCGGTAGCCAGTAACACCACCACCCTATGTGGTTCCTGGGATCACATTTGCCTGGGGCCCTTGTGAGGGCTCTGGGGAGTTTCTGAGAAGATCTGAACTGTGCCTCTTGTGCTGCTGACATTGGAACACTGGATCAACTGAATCCTAGAACTCAAGAAATTCTCTTAGAGTACTACCATGAAATAATGATAGCAAGCCACTACAATTAGCTTTACCTGCTCATGGTAAAATACATCTAAGTGATCCCCCACTTCCTATGAGAGCTGCCTAGATAGAGTTCTACTACTTCAACCTAGCTTTATCTTTATTTTTATTTATTTAATTAATCTATTATTTATTGTGTGTGTGTCTGTGTGTGTGTGTGTGTGTGTGTGTGTGTGTGTGTGTTACTAGGGATATTTTGAGATAGGTTCACACTAAATTACCCAGGCTGGGATCATCCTGTGATTCTCTTGCCTCAGCCTCCCAAAGTGCTTTATTGCATGTATACGGCCCCATACCTGGTTAGGCCTAGATCGTTCTATTGTGCCAAAAATTTTTCATTGGTTTCCAAATAAGACACCATATAGGAGTTGTCAGTTTACAGTGGTAAACACAACATTCTCATTGTTTTGAAACACCAGCATAAATTTTCATTTCTTCATGAAAACTAAGGAAGTCTATAGAGTTTAAAAATATCTAAATTTATTTGCTTCATTGGCAATTAAACTGAAACAATGTGGCAATCCACATTTCCGTTGTAGGGTATATCATTTGATGTTAAAAAGAGGAAGTGAGAGCAAACCAGAGACTTTTGAAATAAAAATCATTGTAACATGTAGTCCAAATGAACAGACATAACGGAAGACATCTTTGATGAATAAATTATGTGGGAAGACAGAATAGGCATTTCCTAGAGGAACTTTACTGCACCTGGATTTTTAATCTTCTAATCAGCATTGCATTATTTTTTGATAAAAAATAAAGGAGAGGCTGTTTATTTTCCAATAAAAGACCCTACAACACAAAATCATACTCTGTTCTTTGGTTCATTTCTTCAAGATATAAATCAAGGCACAAGATTGCCTGTCAAACCTTCTATATTCACACTTCCTAAGATATATTTCTAGTTTAACGTAGTCTTTTGTCACTATGATTTTTCTAGCCTGGCACCCTAGTTTTCCATGATCTTCCTCATTTTGAGTAGCTAGTATGGTGTGGAAGGGTGCTACCCTATCAGCTTCTCTGGTTAAATTGGAATGCCATGCTGTATTATTTTGTTGTGTCTTCCAGGAAAGTAACACAAGTGTTTTCAACCATATCTAAAACTAGCTGATGGGAAAGAATCAAAGCAGGATGACCCTACCTAAAGACCCACTAAAGTAAAATATATGATGAGAGGGCATATTTGCAACACATATGATCAATAAAGGTCTTCTCACAAACCTTTTAAAAAGTAGTACAACTTAGTAAGAAAAAAATTAATGATCAGGAACTTTCACAGAAATGATCAGTAATCATGCAAAAAAGCAATCAACCTAATTGATACCAATTTACATTCCATCTAATTATGTTGAAGTGCTGCCTATCTTCACCAGAACATGTTGTTTTGTACTCTTGACAGTAGCCATTTTGTCTGGGATGAAACTGAATCCAAATGTAGTTTTGATTTGGATTTCCCTGATGGGTCAAGATATTGAACATTTTTTCTTACCCTTACTGACCTTATTTTACTTATTCTTTTGATAACTGCATCTTCCTTTCCCCATTTATTGATTGGATTCTTTGGGGTTTCTTTTTATTGTTATGTTTTGAGGTCCTTTTTGTATTCTTGAGATTAATATTCTTGGAAGATTAGCTAGCAAAGCTATTTCCCATTCTATATGCTGCCTCTTTACTCTGTTCTTTCTCATACTGTGCAAAAGCTTTTAAATTTGATATAGTTCCATTAGTTGATTCTTGCTATTATTTATTCTGCTACTCCAAATCATTCATGAAATCATTACATGTATCTATTCATAAAATCAGTGCTTGTGCCTATGGTTTCAAATATTTTCCCCTGCTTTTTTTTTTCAGTCAGTCTCAGTTTCAGATTATATACCAAGATGTTTGATCCATTTTTAGTTAAATTTTTACTAGGTGAGAGGAATCTACTTCCATCTTCTACATAAGGACATTCAGTTTTCCTAGCACTATTTGTTGATATCTTTTGTTCAACATATGTCTTCGTGAATAACCATGTTGTTGTATTTGTGTAAAAAAATTTTCTCATTGTGCTCAATTTTGTTCCTTTGGTTTATATGTCTATTTTCATGCACATAACATTTTGTTTTTATTGTTTACTGTAGTTTTACAGTATATTTTGAAATCAGATACTGTATTACTTCACCCCTTCTCTTTTCATGATTGCTTTGGCTAGCTTAGTTTTGTGTGTGTGTGTGCTTTCATAAAAATTTTGGAATTATTCTTTTAAATTCTGTGAAGAAAGCCATTGATATTTTGGTAAGGATTTAATTTAATTTGTAGAATGTTTTTCATAATATGACCATTTTTAACAATGTTAATTCAACTGATCCATGAATGTAAGACAAAGTCTCACGTGCACTCCACGGAGTGTGAACAGCCAAAAAGGCCTCCACAATGCTGGGCCCTAACACCCAGTGAGGCTTCAGGAGCTCCATGGAGAAACGAGAAACCCAGGAAGGAACATACCAGGCTAGATGGTAAATAGACCTTTATTAGTCTGGCCAGACGGCACTCCCGGAGCCAGGTAGCTCAGAGAGGCAACTGTTCAGGGGCTGAGGTACTTTTTATAAGGTTTTTCAGGGAATTCACAGAACAAGACTGCAAACACATTGCTTATCTTATGCAGGAAATGTTCTGTGGCCACCTTTTGTCATACCATTTGCCCCTGGGCGAGCTGTTAACCAAGGTAGCAAATTAGCATATGAAGAAGCACAGTCTGGCCTATTAGCATGGAGTCACTTTAGCTTATTCAAGTCTTACACGAATATAAAAGGTCCTTTCATTTTCTTGTGCTTTCTACAATTTACCTCTTCAGTACTCTGTAATTTTTATTGTAGAATTTTTCACCTCCCTGCTTAGGGTTATTCCTAGATTTATCTCTTAGTGAGCTCATTATTTGCTTATAAAAAAGACATTGATATTTGTATGTTGATTTTTTTTATCCCACCATTTTGTTGAATTTGTTTAGAAGATCTAAAAGTATTCTGTTGTACAGTGTAGGATTATATCATCAGCAGATATGGTTGACTTAACTTCTTTTCCTATTATTATCTCTTTTATTTCCTTCTTTTACCCAATGACGTTAGCCAAAATCTCAAGTACTATATTGAATAAGAGTAGTGGAAGCAAGTATCTTTATCTCCTTCATGATCTTAAAGGAAATGGCGTAAGTTTTTCACTATTTGGTATATTATTTACCAAGTTTCTTGCATATAGCCTTAATTATAAGGAAGATCCACAAATAACTAATCTCTCTAATGTTTCCCCATGAAGTAATGTTGAATTTTGTCATAGGGTTTTTTTTTTCCTGCACCTACTGAGAAGATCATGTTTTTTATTCTGATTATATTTATTTAATATATTTCATTTACTGATTTCTGTATATGGAACCTTTCTTGAATAT